CTCTGTTATGCTGTTAGTACTTTAGGGTAACAAAAGAGAAGAGAATGCAGATACTAAAATATTATCCAATATATATATATATATATATATATATATATATATATATATATATATATATATATATATATATATATATATATATATATATATATATATATAAGGTTTAAATGTCATGATTTTTTTTAATTTCAAAATTTTATTATACCCGTAATAGGTTGACAATTGGTTCGGGGAACTATCTCAAGGTCACCTTACAATCAAAATTTCTTGTTTCCAGATAAACTAGGGATAGTAAATATAATCTATATTAAAAGAAAGAAAAAATAAAAGACAACACAAACATGCACACACTCATGCACACATGCATATTGCACAATGTAGGTGACATAAGCTTTAGAAAATAGTGTTTTGTTCCTGTTTACCATCCGGTCAATTACAAGTTACCTATTGATCTATTGAGGTCCATTTCTTAAGAAATTGGTCCTCTTTTTTTGTTTATCTTAGCAGCATATTTTTCATGGTTCTTATACATTTCAACTCTCTGCTTAAAAGCATAGATGGAAGGATTTTGCATATTGAATCTGCAAGTATAAATGTAATATTTTCCCAAAATAAGCAGGAAATTACACAAATTGTCCAGTTGTTCACTTCCTAAAAGTATTTCTTTTTTTGTACAATATTTGGGCAAGATGGTGCTAAATGATCTATAAAACTGTACCAGAACTGTGAAGTATTATTGCAATCATAGAAGAGATGTTCAATACTTTCATTCTCTCTCTTGCAAAACGTACATTTGTTGTCGTCCAATATGTTTATTCTTTTCAAAAAATCATTAGTAGCGATTATTCTGTGGATTAATTTAAATTTCATGATTTTATATATATATATATATATATATATATATATATATATATATATATATATATATATATATATATATATATATATATATATATATCACTTATAATCATGAAATTTAAACCTTTGAAAGCTTCCATATTTATATTGTCCCTTTTAGTATCTTCTTCATTTGGCATTTGATGATGTATCATGTGGTCGACAAATGAAGGCATTGCCTAAGCCGTTATAGGTCGGGTATAGAAGGAAAGTACAACCAACAAAGAACATCTTCTATACGAAAATCATTACCACTAACGATTTTAGACGCTTCAACTTTTGCATATCTGCAATAAAAGTCAATAAATTCCCCACCAATAATTTTCAAGCTTTTATTTTATTTGTTGTTCTTCTTAGACACGTTTTAAATTCTAATTCTTGTCTTTGGAATTATTCTGCTTTCTTCGTTGTGGAATATTTTATAGGCATTATTTCAAGCACAGATTTCAATGTCTACTGGGTTTGTACTTAATTATTTAGAAAAGACTTTATGTAGTTTCCTCAATTTTTTTCCTTCATGCAGGATTTATGGTAGCGTTGTTTTTTTTAAGCCAGTTATGAAATTGTGTGATAGTAATCCAGACTCACTATATCTTCAAAAAAGTGCCTAGAAATATTAGCTGTTTAGTTAAATAGTTGTTTCGTCTAAGGCTAACATGATGAAGTGGAACTTAATTTTGGGTTTTGTATATGTCACATGATTACTTCTCTGTTCATTTTGTAGAAAATATATATGCAGTGGTAGAATATGAGTTAACTCACTTAATAATGAAATATGCTGACTATAAAATAATAATTGCAGGTAGTTTAAATGCCTATACTAATACGGAGCCAAATTTTATCAAATATGATAGCATTATTGATATTCTTCAGGACTTTTTTTTACACAGAAGAAGAAGTAATCAAGACGTATCAAGACGTCTTATCAAGCTTATCAAGACGTCTTTTCAAGCTTATCAAGACGTCTTATCAAGATATATCAAGACGTCTTATCAAGCTTATCAAGACGTCTTATCAAGCTTATCAAGACGTCTTATCAAGCTTATCAAGACTTCTTATCAAGCTTATCAAGACGTCTTATCAAGCTTATCAAGACGTCTTTTCAAGCTTATCAAGACGTCTTATCAAGATATATCACGACGTCTTATCAAGCTTATCAAGACGTCTTATCAAGCTTATCAAGACGTCTTATCAAGCTTATCAAGACTTCTTATCAAGCTTATCAAGACGTCTTATCAAGCTTATCAAGACGTAGGAGAGACAAATCACTATGGAGAAAAACGTCTACAGCTATGCCAAATCACTGGATTGAGAATTGCCAATGGTCATAAGACTTTAGAACAATCACAGAAGAGGAGCTATGCCTAGCATTGAGTAAGTTGAAACATAGCAACTGAGGGAATGTATCCGTTATCTACGACTTAATACTAACAATAATATTAAGTAACTATTAGACGATGAAACTTATCCATAATATTGGTCAAAGGCTGTCATCATACCATTTTTGAAGAAAGGCATGAAAATAAATCGTCCGAATACAGAGGCATTAGTTTACTACCTGTATTAAGCAAAGTATTTACATTGATTTTATAACAGAATAAATGAATGGATGGAGGAAAACAAATAACTGGGCAAAGTGCAAACAGGATTTAGAAGGGGTATTCTACAGCAGATAATACATGTATATTATATGCATTAACTTGAATATGTTTATGACAACTTTTGGGTAGATTCTATGCACCATTTATTTACTATGAAAAAGCTTTTGATAAGTTGAGAGACGTTTACTGTAAAAAAAGAAGCTAGTTATTGAAAATATTGGCGGAAAAATAAGAACCTTTAGGGTACTTTATAATGATGTAAAAGCAAGTGCCAAATTCAATAATTTATTACTGATGTATTTAAATGCCCCTTGGGCATACGCCAAGGTTATTTTATTTTATCGCCTTTAATCTTTTTTTTTATTTTTAAACTATTTGAAACTTTTTTTAGCTGAAGGAAATAGAAGAGGTTCAGTAGAAATCTTGTAACTATTTTTAATTTTGTATGCAGACGCTTTCATTGTCTTTGCTGACACTACTCACCTGTTTCGAAATAGGCTCAGTAGGCTATATACATGTTGCCTAAAGTGAATATGAAAATTGAATATGAAGAAAAAGAAGAGTGGATGTATGTCGCATAGCTGGCTATCCCAGAAGTTACGAAAAGTGGCACTATGGTCATACAGAGGTAACTCATACTATAAGCATTTAGGATGCATATTTTCTTCAATAAACTCCTGGTACATGTGCCAGAAAATGTGTATCATTGCAGGCGCTGAAGGCTATGCATATATTAAAGCAAAGTCTTTCAAAATTTGGTGGATTTACCCATAACTGGATTTCTAGGTGTTGACGCGAAGATAGCTCCATCTTTTTCTAGGGGTCTGAGGTGTGTGTGTGTGTGTGTGTGTGTGTGTGTGTGTGTGTGTGTGTGTGTGTGTGTGAGAGAGAGAGAGAGAGAGATTTTGATATTTAACATAACTTTAAAAAAATTTCTGTCATATTGCTACTGTGTCTGCAGCGTGGCAGTTTATAGTGATGTCTAGCAATGGGATATCATGCCGCAGACAAACAACATGATGTCCCACCCAGTCACATTATCCTGATACCAGGCCGGCCATGCGTAACATTAATCTGCTAATGATGAACGCAAAGCGAGGCAACTATTAGTACCATTTTTGTAAGTCTTTGGTATGACTCGGCAGGGGATCTAATCAACGACCTCCCGCATCCCAGACGAACGCTCTAAACAACATGCCATATATTCGCTGAGGTATGTGGGTTTTACGATATCACTGATATTGATAAAGATCCTTTGCGATTTTGTAAATATATTCATGTTACATCTAAGTCTACTCCAAATACATTCGTATATAACGCATTAGGAAGAATTAGTACGCAGTGTAAGATATAAACGCATTTGAAATATTGGCTAAGAATTCTAAAAATGTCAGAAGATAGATACCTTAAACAATACTACAATTTACTGTTAAGAATTGGGGGACATGACTGTGATTGCATTGCTAACAATGTTATAAAGCTTATATTTACATTTGCTTTTGGCAATGTTTGGTGTATATTTGAGATGTGAAGATATTTTAGGCAAAAGCTGAAGGATGAGATTAAGTCGATGGAAAGCTTTTCTAAAGACCATTCGGAGTGAGTGAAATTTATATTTCATTTATATCTAGAATTGTCGGGAGATGGCAATTATTTTTTTTTAAAATTAAAATTACTATGCTTAGAGTGGGGAGCTTGCCAATCAGAGGTAACACGGAAAGATATGAAAGTGTTTGCAGTGAGGAAAGATTGTGTCAAATTTGTAACGTTAACATCGAAAATGTGATGTGATGTGATTATGATTTTTAACGTAGCTTTAACAATTTTTCAGTCATATCGCTACCATGTCTGCAGTGTGGCAGTTTATAGTGATGTCTAGCACTGGGGCATTATGCCGCAGACATGTAGCATGATGTCCCACCCAGTGACATTATCCTGACACCAGGCTAACCAGTCCTAACAATAACCTCTCAATGCTGAGCGTCAAGCGAGGCAGCTGTTATACCATTTTTGTAATTCTTTGATTGACTCGACCGGGAATCGAACTCACGAGGCGGACGCTCTAACCACTAAGCCGGCGTAGCGTTTCAACATCGGAAATGAATTTCATTTTATCACTGCTTGTCCGCTATATGGAGAAATACAAATAAAATATTTACCTACTTTTGTATATAAAAATCTAACTTTAACATAAATTAAATCCTTTATATAAAATAATGCTAGCAAAATTCTGATGACTAATTTAGCTTTGTAGCCTTAAAAGCCGTAAAGATTAAAGGAATAGTTTTATCATCGACTCCTGCTACATTGGACTCTACATCAATATAATAAAACTTGTTCCATACAAGTTTTACGGTTCCCTTAAATTCATTGTGAACTTAATGTGTAATATATAAATGTATCTCACACAATTCGAAAATGAAATATTTATTACTTTCTTCTATAACACTGCCAATAGATTCTATATTCTTTTCTAACGCACTTATAACATCTTTTTGAACCACTCCGGTGGCCTAGTGGTTAGAGCGTCCGCTTCGGATGCGGGAGGTCGTGGGTTCGATTCACGATTCCCCAGTGCTAACATCACTATAAACTGCCACACTGCAGACAACGTAGCGATATGACTGAAAGATTGTTAAAGCTACGTTAAAAATCATAATCACATCACATTACATCCTTTTGTACCGGATCATCGATGAATATGTGTCATGGGCCAGTGGCATGTCTTACAAATAAACACTGTTATTATGGTGACATTTTATAATTGCATTTGGAGTAACTCCCTGTACTGAACTTAAAATATATCTTTTCAATTTCGATAAATTTTGAACTACTCCACGTTTACTACTATAAACTTCAACTCAACAGTCGGATCAAATTAGGTCAATGAAAAGATTACATGTATATGAAATATGGAATAGCATAATGTTAAGGTAATTTTAAAATTATAAATAATTTCCTTGAGAACAAAACTGAAGAGGGAATTGACAAACACACACACACACACACACACACACACACACACACACACACATATATATATATAAACTCCCCATCCCAGGTTAAATATAAATACAAACTAGAACCACTCAAAAGGGATAACATATATGGACAATTCCCAGAATTTGCATCACATGATCGAACGCTTTTACAAGATTCATTCCACAGCAAACATGTTGATTCTATTAGCAGCATCTGACGACATACATGAGGATGCATCGTGCCTCTTTTACATCTCTGGTCATCAGAGGAAAATACTGATTGAAGTATTGATGCTAAGTTTCCAGGAACGAACACTATTATTAATTGCTTTGCATTTTCTTTCTTTCATTTCTCAGATTTTGAGAATGTTTTAGCTTCATTTTTTCGCATGGAATATACTGTCTTTTGGGAATGACAAATTCATCTTCCTAGAGGTTTTGCTTATGCTTTTACAATGGCTACTGTCTCGTGCTTGTATGGAATTATATCGCCACGATTGTGCCGATGTGCCGTTAAAATATTTAGACATGCGTACCATGACCAACTTTGTGATAATCTTACTATTAGTAGTCAGACAAACTAGCATTCCTGTTTCGTGCGTGTCAGCAACAGAAAGCTGACAATGTTAATACTGTTCATTTCTTATTTCGTGCGCGGAAGCAACATAAAGTTATATATAATAATGTTAACACTGTACAGACAAGGAATCGCGTTGTTTATTTCATTCGCTCATCTTTGCCTCCTTATGCGGCTTGGGTAGTACAACAAAACAATATTCTCTTTGCTCCTCTAAGGGTGTGATAGCTGATTTCGAAAAAAAAGGTAGATGGTAGCCTAACATTTATCTGGATTATTTGGTTTTCTTAAGATCATGGAGTACTTCACGTCAACATTTCAGGAATGCTTTGTAGACCTTGGTGGAATTTGTTGAGTATTCAACGCGAAATAATTCTATTTACAATGAAACCGTCAGACAGTGTTATGCATACAAAGTTATCTAGTTAAACTGTAAGGTTCCGTTCAATCCGGGATAAAACTCTGTTAGGTAAGTCCGCCTTTTTTGTCATAATTAAATTATTTACTGACCTTAATATTTGTTTACACCTATCGATAAAAGCTATGATTAGACCAGTTGACACAACAGTACCGATGCCTACGTATGATCACCAGTAGGGACATTGATCACAATATTGCTCCTTTTTCAGCAAAGTATTCCGTTTAGATCAGAAAATTGCAACGTATAGACAACGAATGAAGAAGAAATACGAAACCGTTTTATATAATCCACAAACTTCTCTAACAACTCGGTCATCTTAAAAGGAAATTGCCCAAAACTGTAAACAAGATTATATATATATATATATATATATATATATATATATATATATATATTTTTATATATATATATATATGTGTATATATATATGTGTATATATATATGTGTATATATATATGTGTATATATATATGTGTATATATATATGTGTATATATATATATATGTGTATATATATATGTGTATATATATATGTGTATATGTATATGTGTATATATATATATGTGTATATATATATGTGTATATATATATGTATATATGTATATATATATGTATATATATATATATATGTATATATATATGTATATATATGTATGTATATATGTATATATATATATATGTATATATATATATATATATATATATATATGTATATATATTATATGTGTATATATATATGTGTGTATATATATATGTATATATATGTATGTATATATATATATGTATATATATATATATATATATATATATATATATATATATATATATATATATATATATTTCTGTGCCACTTTGAGAGTTTGAGGCTAATAGACCCTCATTATACTGAAATTTAGGATGCCATAACTAGTACATATGCTTTACTATTATAAGACAAAATACACAAATAAATATAGCATTTTATTTAGATGTTGTTTATTTAGGGAACACGTTTCCAGCCCCTAAGCGTTCAGGCCCTGGTGAAATGGCATCCCAAGTAGATCGTCATGAGAGTGTCTGCACAGCACAAGTTCATACAACACCGATTCAGTGCAATCATTTGTTGGCGATGAGTGCTTTGTTGTGACGGGATATGAACTGGTGTTCGCAAGAAAGGCGATGAGTGCCGTATACTAACGGACTTGGGTTCGAGACTCAATAGAGTACGGATTAATATTCTATAACCTGCATGATAGTATTTTTTTATTATTAAATTGTAAATTGTAAATTCTGCTTACTATTATAACCATTCTTCAATATAATACAGAGCTAGCACTTTGTGTTTTGTTGGTTTATATTTATAACTCTTTGTAATTAAAAATATTCATTTCCTTGATTTAATTCATATTTATCGAAAACGATTATATAGCAAATTGTAAAAGCAGAACTTTATCAGGATAGGAAGAGAAAAAGTTGTAATAAAGATACTTTCCTTAGAAGTGAAAAACTCCTCCAACTTGTTATGGTATTTCTTCCATGTAGATTCTGGATGCTGCAAGGTCTGTTGTCATGAGGGCATGCTTCTCGGTGCGAGCAAAAGTAGGAACTGATGTATGTTTAGATTTTACCCCCATGTCTTATACATAATGGCAGATCACTCTGTCTGACCGCCACATAAGAGGGCAGACAACCTTAGCTCCCTTTAGCTAAAAGTAGTATCTGGGAGGGCTGGATTTACAAGGTAGTTGTAGTTCTCTTAAGGTATTATGATTGGGTAACATACTTAAAGAAGAAACTTGTATCCCTTTGAACAATAAATGATGTATTTTTGACAGAAAACACAGCTGCATCAGTTGATAGGAAGTTAAAACTATTATGAAAATAAGGAAAGAAAATTATTTCAGAAATATTGTTTAATCCTTGTTCCAGTTCGTATGATATGCATAAAGGTAATAATCAATTTGAAAAACATGTAAACAGAGTAAGGAATGTACATTTAAAACAAGTGTAAATGCAAATAGTAATTATAAAATATAAAGGTATCAAACCTGTGAGTTATATGAACAAGATCCAAATTTCTTAACAAAAGAATAATCAGTTCCAAAAGTAACAGATAAGATACAGAAAAAAAATGTTCTGTGGAATCTTAACAAAACGTAAATGAAAGACTGAAATGCATATAGTGACAACAGTAGAAAAATGATGTACAGATTGATATTATTTACTCATTTTGTTCTCTGTTAACTTTACATTGTAAGAATTATTCAGCATTTTCCATATATTTTCATACTGCATAACATGCTTCTAAAAATAGTATAATGTATTAGGAACTACTTTGTAAAACAAAAAATTTAAGCATGTGTAGTACACACTTTAGCTTTTGGTTTATTAGATTTATTTGTGGATGAACTAAACAGGATGTTTCATCCATTTGATAGTACAGATGATAAAGTTAATGATGACGACGAGTTGAATGAATCACTAATGTAACATTCAAACAAGCAAACGACTGAATATAATGCTCACAATGTCAATAACAATTATGAGATATGCAGTATTTGAAAATACCATCAAGATCAACAAACGACTGAATATAATGCTCACAATGTCAATAACAATTATGAGATATGCAGTATTTGAAAATACCATCAAGATCAACAATGACTGAATATCATGCTCACAATGTCAATAACAATTATGAGATATGCAGTATTTGAAAATACCATCAAGATCAACAACGACTGAATATAATGCTCACAATGTCAATAACAATTATGAGATATGCAGTATTTGAAAATACCATCAAGATCAACAACGACTGAATATAATGCTCACAATGTCAATAACAATTATGAGATATGCAGTATTTGAAAATACCATCAAGATCAACAAACGACTGAATATAATGCTCACAATGTCAATAACAATTATGAGATATGCAGTATTTGAAAATACCATCAAGATCAACAACGACTGAATATAATGCTCACAATGTCAATAACAATTATGAGATATGCAGTATTTGAAAATACCATCAAGATCAACAAACGACTGAATATAATGCTCACAATGTCAATAACAATTATGAGATATGCAGTATTTGAAAATACCATCAAGATCAACAAACGACTGAATATAATGCTCACAATGTCAATAACAATTATGAGATATGCAGTATTTGAAAATACCATCAAGATCAACAAACGACTGAATATAATGCTCACAATGTCAATAACAATTATGAGATATGCAGTATTTGAAAATACCATCAAGATCAACAAACGACTGAATATAATGCTCACAATGTCAATAACAATTATGAGATATGCAGTATTTGAAAATACCATCAAGATCAACAATGACTGAATATCATGCTCACAATGTCAATAACAATTATGAGATATGCAGTATTTGAAAATACCATCAAGATCAACAACGACTGAATATAATGCTCACAATGTCAATAACAATTATGAGATATGCAGTATTTGAAAATACCATCAAGATCAACAAACGACTGAATATAATGCTCACAATGTCAATAACAATTATGAGATATGCAGTATTTGAAAATACCATCAAGATCAACAAACATATAACCTCTTGCAAACAGAATGGTTCAG